ACTGTATTCTTTAAATACCTGCACAGCAACACGGCTAGTACACTGCTGGAAGCGACTCCATGCACAGCGGCAAGAACACATCCTCTGACAAAATGCAACCTCTGCGGCACAGCACGAGGGACCGTACAGACCATGTAACGAAACCTGTTTTAAAACGCATAAGTTCACGCTTGCTTTACGAAACTCGATATTTCTTATCATATTTAATTCAATTTTTTGGCTGGTTCGCCTGCCCTTTTCCACCCTTCGCATACTCATTCTCGTGTTTCCTCTTCAGATTGCGAATAAAGTTCGATGATATACGCCGACTGCACCGTGTATAGTTTCGTTGAACAACTTTCAGCGTGCAGCTTGTTTATTTTCTTCGTGACTAATGTAGAAAAATGTCCTCTACGATACCATGACTCGATTTGTATTTATCTCGTCTTCTCGTCCGAGTTGTGATGTTCCTCTTCGCGCTGATCGAGTAGCGGGTTCAGGCAGCAGACGGAACCAACCGATTCATTCTTCTACCTCGGTGTCGGTTGTTCGCGTTGTGGCGACGGGTCGGGAAGTCAGCGTTGACAAAGCTCTTCACATCAAGATAGAATTAACGGGGTAATACCGCACCGTTCGAATTGACATTCCCCGTGTTTCCTCAACAACACCGTCCAACTGACTTCTCACCGCCTCAAATAGGGTTCAGGACAAAGAGCACGAATGCAGACCGGACAGCCCGCGGGGAACCAAAACCTCAGTGGCAGCTATCAGCCAGCTCTCCTTCTCAGTTGCCCTCACAGCAACGGTCGCGCCTCGTCTGACGCGGGACGATCTTTCTCCAGGTCTAGTCAGTTCGGTCACACCAAAAGCGGTGACGATAGTCTACTTCACCTTACGATGGACCTCAACAGACAGCACCAGAGCCATCGAATGTGCTTTCTGAGTGTCGCGTGACTCTGCAGTCCCACTAACGGTGCTGGATTGCCTAGGGTGACTCGTAGCGTCCGCAGCGGTCCATCGCAAGGTGAAACGAAGTATGCAGAGACTAAGTCAAAGGAAATGAGCGGGAATCCGCTAGCTTGCTTGTAACCCCAACCCACTAAAATATATATAACACAGAAAACAAGCATCGGAACAAAGACCAAGTAATAGGCGGACTTACACTACAAACGCAGTATAAAAAACAAGCCTCGGAGCAAAGCGCAAGAGGAGAAGAGGGAAGTGAATCTCGCTTTGTTTTAATGCCGAAGCAAACCCACATTTCACACTTCAAATGAGTGCGCACGAATGAACGTGGAAGGCAGCAGGGTTGGCTGCCTGCTAAACAACGCGCCTCGAACTTTAAGAAAACAATACCTGATCATCTTTCGGCGGCGCCCGGGTCAACGAGCACGGCCACTCGCAACGAGTTATACGAGCTCTGCGAGTTAGGAGTCGCTTCCGCTCCCACACCTCAGTCTGTGAGCGCGCGTGCATTCTATAAACCGTCGCAACAACAACAAAAAAGCATGACAAGAAGGACGATGAGGAGTTGTGCATGGCGGTTTCTTTCTTTGCCGCTCCCTTTTCTTTTGCTTGGTGCCTGGTTTCTTGTTTCGCTCTCGTGTAACGCCATCGAAGCCCGACGCCTGCGCGTCCGTGAAAGGCGCCACGCTACCCCCCTTTCCCCCTTTGCTCTTTGCTTTGACGCTTGTTTTTTCTCTTGCATTTTTTTGGCGTATAAGTCTGTTAGGGCTCCACGCGGGCTAGCAGTTTCCCGCTCATTTTATTTCTGAGCAACTGACTCGGTGACTGGCTCGGTTTAGCTGACCGTAGACACTAAAAAAAAAAGAAAGAAAAAGAACCGTGCCCATTCCATTCCCATTCCATTCCGGGCAAAAGGCACCTAATTCCATTCCCATTCCATTCCGGGCAAAAGGCACCTAATTCCATTCCCATTCCATGCCCCTCAACGTTGCCGCCATTCCATTCCCATTCCATTCCGGGGTCGTGAAAATGCGGAATGATTCCGGAATCATTCCAACTCCGGGGTGGCAACTCCGCAACCCTGGTCCGTACATTGCTTGTATCCTAGGCGTGCCTCCAAGTACGTGCGCGTGTGTGCGTTTTTTGTGTACCTGCATGCGCATCCGCCCATGGGATAGCACACCTGCGTACATGCATCCAAATGTCCGAGTTGCACCATACTCTTTGGGGCCAAAGGTAGAAAAAAAGAATCACGGTTTTGTTTAAAGGAAATCGGATCTATTTGATTTAATCAGACTAACGTCATTTAAATTACGGTAGCTAGGAATAGTGATTAGTTGGATGAATTAAAAACAGGCGGTAAATAAAAAATATATCCGATATTATTTTCGCACTCACTGTTTCATTTAAATCATCATAGTAAAACTGGCATGATATAAATCGCAAATTGAATCATAGTTCCAGTCACTACTTAAAGCAGATTGATTTTTATTCGTCAGCCCATCAAAGAGGAGCACGTAAAGACGCAGTCGCACTAACGGTACACACGAAAGACAGGGTGTTCCCTGCAAACATGACGTGTCTGCAGACGGTGTCTGAATGACCATCGTGACAGGGCCCTCGTACAAGTAAAACAACTGGCAGCGACTTTTACCTTCAAACTCCTATGATGCCTGACATGCTGTGGAACACCCTGGGAGCGACATCACCTATACCCTTTTCACCTCAAGAAACATAGGAAAAAAAAAAAGTCCTGCCATTTCTCCTTCATGTGGAGTACCAAGGTACATGTAAGTGCATTTTAGATAAGATATATGTTGTCTTACCAAGACGTACACGTTTCAAACACCGAAAGCATCGCTTTATCCTCCGACAACGAAATCCCGTAAGAACTACTTCGCGCCGCGTATGAACAATGCGCAAAACTTCTTTCTTGAGGTGAAAACGGGTGTAGGGTTATCGAGGAGCTGTTGCTAGGAGGGGGAAGGGGGGAGAAGAAAAAAGGAGAGGGGTGGGGTGAGGGAATTGGCGAGTCGAGGGACGTATATTTTTCCTCTCAACTTAGCGGGAAACCTGAATGGTTGTATGGGTCACGTGACGTCGATTTCTCTCGCTTAATTTAGCGGAGAAACGGGATTGATGGCTGGGTCGCAGGACGCGAATCTTCCCGCTGACTTCAGCGGGTAACTATTATAAGTTGTAAATTGGATAGGCCACGTGACGTCGATTTTCCGCTAAATTTAGCGGGGAAACGGAATAGATGTTTTCGCCGCAAAACGTGAATCTTCCCGCTACATTTAGCGGGGAAACTGAGTTGACGTATAGGTCGCGTGCCGTCAATTTCCTCAAAAGTTGTAGATCACGTGACGCCATTTTCTCCGCTAAATTTAGCAGGAAATTCACGAACGGAATAAACTTTGGGAGGGGGGGATAGCGCTAAAAGGCATTTTGTGCTTTAAAACGCGCGTGAGACAGTGTGAGCAGACTGTCCTTTGTGCAATGTATTAGCATAGGTATTATTAGCGTGTGACGGCGGCTGAAGGTGAAAAAATAAGTTTTTAAGCGATTGCTTTTTATATAGGAGTGCGAACGTTTCTTACTCGTATTGGTTCGACAGCACGACGTCACAATATCACGTCACGCAATTGCGTTACGTGACATCACAGCGTCACACGACGTCATGATGTCACGTGAATCAGCGTCACACGTGACGGCACATTACCGTGATGTAAGTTCAAGTGACACTAAAAGGCCACGCACATCGCAATGGCACGTGTCACATGGCGTCAAAGTGTCATGTGACGTCATGTTGTCACGTGAGCTGACGTCACGGTAATGTGACGCCACAGTCTCACGTCACGAGTTTTTCGTATGATTTGGCGGGGAAATAGCTCTACTAAGTTCAGGGCTAACATGCTGCTCGTTAAAAAAAACACCCTTGTGCCATGTCATCTTCGTTGCGTTTGACGGAAAGTCGAAGCACGACTATTTTTCGTCTTAGAGCGCAGCTCTTAGGCTCCCGTTTCCGGCTTGAGTGGTGTCGGCGTCGCCGTCGGCGTAACCAAGGGCACCCCCAGGTCACGTGACCCCTCGCAAGGTCACCTCAAGGTCACATGACCCCCAGGTCACCCCAAGGTCACGTGACCCCTCCCATGGTCACCTCAAGGTCACGTGACCCCCAAGGTGACCCCATGTGACCCTCCAAGGTTACGTGACCCCCGAGGTCACGTGGCCCCCCTCCCGAAGTCACGCGACACCCCCCCCCCCCCCCCCGAGGTCAGGTGACCCCCCGGAGCATATTAAAGAATGAGGGTAGGAGGATAAAGAGGAGGGTTCTACCCTCCCCTCAGTACCCTTCCCTCCTCCTCCTCAAGAGCTGCGCTCCGATTCGGCGTTACAGGGACTTGTAAACGGCTTATATGAACGTGTGAAATTCAACATTAGATTGAAGATAATAGGCGCCAATAGCACAAGGACGGATAAGGACCCAAAGATATGAGAATTGTCCTCACGTGTGTTTTGCTTTTCAAGTTGCGTGTAACTAGGCTAACTATTTTATGAAACATTATATACGCAACCACTTTCAGGAAACGAAGCTTTGATCATTGCTAGATGGTAGCCAATTTCTGCGTTTCGACTTTAAATAAAGACAAAAATTATATATTCTCAGTAGTTTCTAAAGCGATGCATTTCTTACCTTTTTTGTTTTACGTTTGCGTGTAGGGTTTCGGTTAGTAAGTGGTCTTCAATATCCGTCGCTAATTTTGATGCGGAGCCATGGTTTTCGTTAATTTAAACACTTTGTGAATATTGTGTTGAGATTATAGTCAGAAAAAGAATTGATGTTTTCATTATTTTGGTTCACAAAAAGCTCACCTTTCCATGCTGTTCTTTTTCGTCTTTGTGTTAAGGTGCTACTTCTGCAACAAAACAACATCTGGAACATTGATCAGCTGTCGTCTCGGAATGCATCGATCCTCGAATTTCAAGTTGACCACAATCCGCTGCAATCAGTTCCAAAATTTGGATCGTGGAAGCGCTTACGATGGTTGGGCATGAACAACTGCAATATTTCCGAAGTTCATCCACAAGCATTCGAAAAACTCTACAACGTCGAAGTAATCCATCTCTCCAACAATAATATTTCATTTCTCAACGAAAGCATTTTTCACCAGAAGTCTAAGCTCGCTACTTTAAACGCGGAAGGCAACGCCATCAGAAGCCTGAAAGGTGTCTTCAGCCGTACACAGGCCCTTCTGGCACTCCAGCTCTCCATGAACAAGGTCCAAGATATCACTGATACCTTCACGAACCTCTCTACACTGGTCGTGTTGAATCTTACCATGAATGAGATTGCGTTTATTCGAGACGGAACTTTCCTGAGAAACTCCGACCTTGCTCAGTTGTACATCAGTCAGAACAGAATCGAATGGCTGGGAACGGGCTGTTTCGAGGGTCTATCAAACTTGCAAGACCTGCAACTTCAAAACAACCGAATCTTCAGCTTGAACGGATCGTTGAGGCAACTGACGGCTCTGAAAAGGGGGATTCTCAACGACAACTTGTTGCAGGTTATCGAACGAAGAGACTTTGATAACGTGCCGGCGCTTCGGACCCTCTACGCATCCGGAAACAATATCAGCGCGATCGAAAGCGGAGCTTTCGAAAGTTTAAACAACTTGCAAACCCTCTCTCTGTCCTTCAATCAGCTAGTGACGATTCCTCGGCGCAGCTTTCCCGCATCACTGGACAAGTTGGACAGTCTTGTCATCCACGGTTAGTCTGCCCCTTTCCTCTTCCTCTCTTCATGAAAAATTGCGGAAAACGTGGCACGTTTAAAAATGCAGCCTCTGGGCTCCGCTATCGTGCCGCTATATATGTGTCGATCACGTGATAGTCAAGCCTCACCTAAAGCCAACGTTACTGGATTGCCTCAGTTGTGGAACTCCCGCGGAAGAGAGTTCCACATCTCACTCACTTCAGTCCGCCTCCTGTCGTTCCAAGAGCCATCTAGATTTTCGTTTACTAAATCTATGTTTCATAGGGTACGGCGGAACGCCATCTATTGTCGGTGACAGGTCAAGAACGAAGTGCACGCCCCTCCCACCTCTTTCCACTTTAACAGAGAGAACGCTGAGGGGAGGCGACATCCTCTCCAGCGTTCGCTCTGCTAAAGTGGAAAAAGGTGGAAGGAGCGTCAACTTCATTCTTGAACTGTCACCGACTCTAAACGCTGCGCTTCGAAACGTACGTATCCCATAGAATACACTTCAGTTGTCATAGCACCCGTGTGGCGCGTTGAACGACGCCAGGTGAGTCGTGGTGAGTTAAAGGGGGGGGGGGGGGGGGGGGGTACTGCTCGTGCATGCAGCGTCTATGAGCAGTTACGTAACTGAGCTAATCTAATAACGTTGCCTAAAGCCGTAGTCGTAGTGCTCATTGAGCATACAAAAGACACGGTCTGCTGACGTGACGGAATTGTCTGCGAGCACGCCTCCAACACTCTCGACGCATATTTGCTTAATACGTATGCATGCTTCCAACATGTCTGCAGAGGGTTTTTATTTGAACAATGTGTCAGTCGTACAAGGGAGAGACACGCCCCAGACAGTGTCCGCTTTTGCATGATGCATGAGCACTGGTACCGCGGCCTAAAGGGGCACTGACAGGTCAACGTCATGTGTTGTTATTATCCAAAAGGATTGAAAACGATGATGATCGGTGGGTCTGATTCCTGGACCCACCGATCATCTTCAATACTACATGTGCCGAACGCCCGCATGTTATCCGAGGGAGGATAAAAAGCGAGGAGGGGACACCACTCCGGGCTCCGATTTTTGGCATTTCAAACAGAAGGGCCGCAGTGCGTTCCCAATTGCGTTAAAAAACATGTTTTATGAATGCCGCTATTAACTATTATAGAAATGACGCTTACAAAACTTCTAAATTTTATAATCGATTGCGTCACAAATAAAAAAAAAGGGAAAAGGTGAGAAGAGAGAAAAACACCAAAAATAAAGAGGCGCCCGCGTGCGCGTGGGGAAACTTTACTGCGTTGTGGTATTTTTGCGTGTCTATGACTAAAACTTGCATCGTTTTAGACAAAAAAAAAATAAAGAAAAAAAAAAGACTTTTATGGTGTCAGTGCCCCTTTTAAAGCGTGCCACTGGTTGCCAGACTGGCGCCTCAACGAAGCGTTCTCTACTCACCGAGACCGACTTAGCTTTTGAAACGTTGCTTCTTTTATACGTTATGAGAGGAAGTGTTTCCTAGCTGTTTCTGGTATATATCAATAAACCCCGAAAAATAGCCGCCCGTCCAGTTTTATAAAAAATCAAAGACGCCCCAAAAATCCCGAATTAAGGCTGCTCTCGAAAACTCAAGCTACAACCAAAAGAATTTTTAGTTTTCAACATATTTTTAGGGTTAACCAGAATACAGCCCCCCTGAACCGTCCACGAGGCGTGTTTCTTTATTCGGAATTTATTATTTATTATTATTTATTCGGGGTTCCTTTTCTTATCGATACCGGCAAGTTTTCCAACTAGTACTTGTGTCGCGCTAAGGTTCCCTCTGGGCTTCGGTTCCCGTGTCCCACGAAACACACGTGCTCTTGTGAGACACTCAAAATTGCCACTGAAAAATATCGAGCCTGTTAAATCAAATAACTTTCGAGAAAAACACCTGTCACATTGAGAAAAAAAAAGTAAGCTGCGAACGCGGAATTTTATTAGCCGACCTTCTTGGCAGGAAACCCGATCGTCTGCGACTGTCGACTCTCGTGGCTCATCGCCACATGGGGCACCCGGAGCCCCGACTGGGCCATCTGCCAAGGTCCTCCGAGGTTTCGCGGCAGGCTGTTATACGACCTGACCCCGGAGAAGCTAAAGGCCTGGCCCCAGGGATGCGACGCCAACTGCACCTGCGAATGCCACGACGACGAAGTGTTCGGCATGGACATTCGCGTGAGCTGCGCCAACGAAAGCCTCGAAGAGCTGCCCTCCACTTTTCCCACGGAGACCGCCGTACTCGATCTCAGTGGAAATCGCCTGCGGCAACTCGACGACGATCTTGCCGACAGGTCACCCAACCTCCGATCCCTGAACCTGGCAAACAACCGGCTTGCAAAGTTCCCTACCGACCTGGTGTCCAAGATGAACCTCTCCAGCGTCTGGCTGTCCGGCAACCCGTGGAGCTGCGACTGTGAAGATTACGCTTTCACCAGGTGGGCCGGGACCATCAAGGGTGTGGTAAGCAGCTCTTCACTCGAGCCCATGCGTCCTACAATCATAACAAGGCCTCAGTGATGGATGTCTACATGACGTCACCTACGGGAGGTCAGCGCCGCGTACAAATTGGACGCGAGTGCCAGATTTTAGCTGAATGACATCCTACCGTAATCGTAATGAGAGGTTCGTAAGTGCGGGTACTAACAAAGAATGCAATCACAATATTATTTACACACAATGGCGGAAACTCTAAAAGTGCACTTCGGTAAGAAAAAAAAAAAAAAAATGAACCAAAAGCGCTGCTGCTTGATTCTCGAAGGAATGAGAGAGCATTTCGGGCAAAAGTTATAAATAAAAAAACATGGTAAATGCAGCTTCTGAGCACTTTTCCGCGGGGTGAACATTGCCGAAACCTCTCTTCTGCCAGGTACAGGCTAATCAGGTGACTTAGCGCGTCCATGAAGGGAGTGCGCGCGACGCTTGGAAAACGACAAAGGCATTTCGTTCTTGGGCATGCACGTTGTGCATACATGTTGAGCATACAGGGGCGACGGCACCGTGCGCTTACGGCCCGGTGACATGGTAAGACGACTGCGTGTCGAAAACGGTATGGCAGGCCAATGAACGGAATGGCACCCCGTGTCCGTCCGCAGGTCTCTAAAGCCGATGTCAGCTGCTTCCAGGACGTCCAAAGGGCGCACCCGCACGCCAACCGCGTGACGTGAAGGGAGGAGTTGATAGGCGCTTTATTGACGCCATGGTGTTCTAGTTCACCATAGTGATGCCCCTGCCGCCCATGGTTGCCTGGTAGGTTTTAGCTCTAACTGCCAAATGCCAAAAAGTGTAGCCCAAAAGTAGCCAAATCCCCAAATGTAGCCATATTTAAAATATCTGCAGAGTCCAAAAAATCTTGCGCACGAATGTACGTGCTCAAGGCGAAGGCACGGCGTCTGCATATCTAGGCTTAGAAGCAGTTGGCAAGATGTACAACATCTTGAAATGTACTAAAAACTTTTATTTCAAAAACAAGAAAGTACCGAAATTTTCCACACGAGTTTTTACAGTCACATAGTTATGAAACACTCGCTCGTGCTCAGCAGACAAGCTTCATACATGATTTCCGTGTTAAAACGGGCAAAACATTCCTCAGTAAGGTTGAAATCCTTACATCACTCTTTCTTTCCAAGGAAAGCAAACTTTATATAGAGGATGTTTTGAAGAGTTCGAAGGGACATCCTTTTCCTTAGATCTGGCTTTGTGAGAGACACGTGAATGAATACTCTCTCCACGGCGGCATTCGACTTGGGCAGTGTCAGGAGCGCGATGGCAAGCTCAGGTTGGCAACCGAAATATGGCTGCTCCTGCGCTTTTAACTTGGCCTTGTTCTGATTATTATTATTTTTTTTTTAATCTCTTGTCTTTTGTTATGGCTCAGTGTGCTTTAAGACACGTCTATGTTTCACAGAAAGCCTCCTTTGTTATATCCGATACATCAGGCATTATCGGACGGCGTCAAATTCTGCTGGATGTCTTGAGTTGCCTTTAGTGTCCTTTTTCCTCGGAAGAGGTGCCTTTTGTACGAGGATGCTGGAAAACTCAAGGAGATAAGAGAGGCCAGTAGGAAGGAGAAAGGAACTTGTGGGTATGAGATAAGCCACAATGAATACAAAAGCGACGGCTTCGAAGCTGAATGTAGGACGGTAGCTCACTGGAGCTAATAGGGAGTTTTAAAATAGCGCGCGCTAAAGCTTTGCGTACGCAAAGAATAGCGTCGTCGCCACTACGCATGCTCCGAACGCAAACCTGGCTTTGCTCTTTGCGCGCGCAATTTTAGCGGGCGCTATTTCTCGGAAATAGCGTGCGTACGCAAAGAGTCTTTGCGCTTTTCCAAGGAGGATTCGTGATGAGAAGTTGGCTAAAGCAGACATGTACAAATTACTCAAAAAAGGTAGTTAAGTTAAGTTACTGAGTATCCACGTCAAAAGTAATTGGAGTAGACTAGAAATTACGCATTTGTAATAGTAATTGAGTAAACTACTAACTACTCGAAAAAGTAGCGAGTTACTTTGAAGTTACTTTCGAAATTACTTTTTTTATATTTTTGTGGTAGTAAAATAAACGGCAGTTTTGATCCGTGAAAAATCCTGCGAGCCTAAAATAAATGCGGTCATTTTAGGGCTTACATTTTCACCGAAATAGTTTATTCGCTCGAAGTTCTTGATAGGAGAATTTTCCACTTTTCCTCCTCAAGACGTCCCCAGTCAAGCTAAAAAGACGTTCCACCGACGCGCTTGACGGAATAGCAGCGTTGAATTTGAGGAACAGGCTGTGCAGGGTCGGGTAAGCGAGTGTCCTCATCTTAGGTGTCCATGACAAAACATGTGAGGTTTGCCTCAGGTAGGGGGTCTTTTATAACAAACTCACCTCCTTTTTTCTTTTTTCGGCAAGTTAAGATTGTTATGACTGGCCACTCTCCATTCCTTCGACGTTCTGAGAGTACGCTGAGCGAGTGCACCTGACCGTCAAGGGTCCAAGTCTCGCGCCACGACGATGAGATCATCCGGACGACTGCGCGTCTTGTTGCAATGCTAGTGCTACGCTATTGAAAAAAGAAAAATATATTTTTGTTTAACAGAACCAACAAAAGGATCTCCCAAGGGCAACTCACAATCCTCGCCGGCGACTACGGTATCCTGTCGCGCCTGACACGCCCGACAAGTAAATCGTTTTCAACAAAGAGGAGGTCTCCCTGGCATGGAAGATCGGAAGGACGGGAAAAATTACGTGAAGAAGCATCGTCGCTCGTAAAGTTGCAGCTGGAAGCGGGAACGTGCTCCCATGAACGGATTATCCGTGTCTGGGTTTGTGCGCGGGGGAGTCCGGCTTTGCAAAGGCGTATGCACTGACGACGAGGCGACCATGGGAACAGGCGCCCAGCTGCGAGGTCACTCCAGTGGCGTCTCCCGTGGAACCCCCAAACCGCTTGAGGCGGAACTCACTAAAGGCAGACAATATGAAAACAACAACAACCTTCGGAGTGTCCCCGTCTTTCATGGTTGCAGCCGGAGGTTCGGCGCCTGCGTGTACGCGCCGGTGTTATGTTTCGTCTGCTCGTCGCCACCTTGGCCTAAGGACGCCTGTGATGCAGTTTCTACGGTGGGTACGGAATGTGAGGGGGCCCCTTGTTCGGAAGGCCACTTCATCTGCCGGCGTCTTATTTACTTTTGCGCTCAAACTTTCGTGATGGGCAAAATTAGCACTATATAATTTCGAAAGTAGTTAGTAATTTGAGTAGAAGTTACCTGAAAAAAGTAATTAAATTAAACTACTAATTACCCATATCAAGTTGTAATTGAAAGTTACCAAGTTACTCGGAAATGTAGTTAAACTACAGTAGTTTGAGTAGAGTAGTTGAACTACGTCCAAGTCTGGGCTAAAGCCAAGACGAGCAGAGTTTAAAAAATGGCGGCTTCCAGGATTATGTCGGCGGCTGCTTTGGCGGCGTCGTGAGTGCGACGTCGGCTGCATCTTCGCGACTGCAATTTTCAATATGGGACGACATTGTGCTCGGTTTGGCAACGATCATCGGCAGCTTGATGCTTGTGACGTGCGAACATTTCTCGGCGAAGGTACGGTGTGCGAAGGTCAGTACACGAGACCTCTCTCGCCGAGGCGACGCAAGCGGACACGACCGGTCAACCGCTCGCGCCGCATTCTCATGTTTACACAAATCCAAAATAGTACTCTGGACCAAAAACTTGTTTCTTCTAAAGTCACAGCATTTCGTGTGTGAAATAAAAATTGTGAGTGTATCTTGGTGGCGTCGCAAGCGCGAGATGCTTGGGCTTTTGCGTCGCGACGAAGAAACGCTATTCTAAAACTCTCTCGCGTCGCGTGCGCTAATACGAGCGATAAATTTAGCGCTAGCGTGCGTTTAAATTGCGTACGTTATTCTAAAACTACCTAATAGGATCTGGCGCCACGCTATGGTGTAGCCACGCTCACCAAGGAGGATAGAAGGGTAGGAGAGGGCCCGTAGCCTCCACAAGCCATGTTCCCCTGACGCCTCGCCTCTTTCTCATTTTTCTCCTTACTCTCCTCACTTATCAGGCCAACGTGACCACGTCACGTGACCGTAGCTAGCCTTCGTCTAGCCATGGTGCACTAGAATACACCACAGCCTAGCATTCGATAAAACCTACCGGACGGAGTGCACGCAAGCCTGCAAGGAATCCTCCTACAATCAACCATCCATGTCGCACGTGACCTGTCACGCGCACCAATCGACAGTGAGATCTGCGGTCACGCTGGGCACAACATCGTTTAAACTTTTTATAACTAGGCTTCACCAACAATGCAGCGTGCCCCCTCCTAGTACTTCTAACCTCCTTGACGCTCACGTATCTTCACCCAGGAAGTCGCAGAAAGCGGGAATCCGGAAAGGGTGGACTGTGGCTTTGTGCCCATCTGAAGACCAAGCGAGAAAAAGAAGAAATAATTAGCCGCGTTAGGATTTGAAACAGCCCAAAAACAGCCTCATAGCTAACCACGTTATTTTGACGCCAATCGCAGTACAAAATAGCCAAATTTGGTTATTAAAAGCCCAACCTGGTAACCTATACCGCCCACCCCTCCTCTGGCGATCTTCGGTTGCTAGGGCTGTGGCCACGTCGCCACGCAAGAGCCCAAGCATCTCGCACTTTCAACGTCACAAGATACAATCACAATTTTTATTTCACACACGAAATGCTGTAACTTTAGAAAAAACAAGTTTTTTGGTCGAGAGTACAATTTTAGATTTGTTTAAACATGAGAATGCCACGCGAGCGGTTGACCGGTCGTGTCCGCATGCGTCACCTTTTCAAGAGAGGTCTCGTGTACTGACCTTCGCACATCGTACCTTCGTTGAGAAATGTTCGCGCATGACAAGCATCAAGTTGCCGGTGATCGTTGCCAAACCGAGTACAATGTCGTCCCGTATTGAAAATCGCAATCGCGAGGATGCCGCCGACGTCGCACTCATGACGCCGCCAAAGCAGCCCCGACATAATCCTGGAAGCCGCCATTTTTTTCACTATGCTTTTCTTGGCTTTAGCCAACTTCTCATCACGAATCCTCCTTGAAGAAGCCCAAAGACTCTTTGCGTACGCACGCTATTTCCGAGAAATAGCACACGCTAAAATTGCGCACGCAAAGCGCAAAACCTGGTTTACGTTCGGAACATGCGCTGTGGCGACGACGCTATTATTTGCGTACGCAAAGCTTTAGCGTGCGCTATTCTAAAACTCTCTAATAGGGAGTTTTCGTAGACCGCGTTCCCCCTTCCGGTAAGCCCTCCGCGACCCGCTGCGAGATCCGGATTTCTACAGTCAATGCCATGGGCGCGCAGTCGCATTAGCGGTTTTTTCGTTGCGGAGGGCATAGCGGAGGGGGAAACGTGGTCTATTAAAAACTCCCTAATAACTATACGATGCGTACGCAAAGGCGCCAGCGGAGTATCTGGTACCAATATGGAAATTACTTAAACGATCTATCTAAAGCTTTCCTTTCACCTCCCCTTTCACTGCTCTGCTCACGACTCGTAGACTTTTTATTCACATCCTCTTAGTTCTTTAAAGGGCCCATGAAACGATTTTTGGGTTAAGATAAATCATTTTAAATAGGGATTTTACTAATAACACATCGTTCAGTGGGCCAAAAGAAAAAAGGAAGGAAGTCAAAAGCCTGGCTTTCAGTGCGAAGATTTGAAAACACAGCGGACTATTTCGTACCTCCTCCCCTTCGTAAGCTCTCTGCCTTTTCACTGTGATACATCCGCGGTCCCAAAAGCGCGTCATCGGGTCCAAACTGACGTCACAAAAAACCGGACCTCACTTAGTCCCTTCACCCCTAAGCTGACATTGTGGTGGAAGCTACGCGCTTGCCGGACCAATCAGCCGCCTCCCTTTCATCACCTGACCTCATTCTCTGCAGCCACATTTGCCACGCTCACGCGGCAAATGTGGCTGGCCCAACGAGTACGTAGCTTCCACAGCACTGTCAGCTTCGGGGTGAACGGGTTGGGGAAAGCAACTTGTGTCTGAATTTTGAGCGACGGGCTAATCTTCTAGGGGGAGAATGGATGTGTCCGGGTACACAATCCAGATTCCGAGCGAGGGGGGCCTCCCTTCTTTTCGTCTTCTTGAACTGTTTAGTGGAATGCGCGATTTATGAGTTGAGGAGGAAAGCTAAAGAGGAAGAAGTTGGAAAGGCGTTTCATGACCCCTTTAACTTACTCCGATATACTTTTATTGTTTTCGAGTGGGGTGTCGTCGAATACAAGGCAAAGCACCATCGCTATCTCCTTGCCCTTTCACCACCGACATTCACGAAATGTGTGCTTGAAAACCCGTGCGCACTGTCACGGCTGCAAAACAAGTGTCCCGCTACCTTCCGATGTCCACCCCCCCCCCCCCCCCCCCCCCTGCACGCAGGTGCAAGATGGCGATCTGGTGCGGTGTGCAGTGCGGGAGGACCATCCGGTTTCCGGGAGGGCCTTCTTCCAGCTGGAGCAGACGGACCTCTGTCCCATCGCGACGGCGCTGATTCTCACAATCGGGATTCCCATTTTCGGTACGTTCATTTTTGCCGTCTCGCTTCCCCTGTCTCCTGGCCATTTCACAGCCTGCGATATTTCGTCGCAACAACGTGCGTGTGACGCCGCTCATGCATCATCATCATCATCATCACGTTACACACTTTCCTGACATTAACGACGAGGGCTTTGCAGTTTAGGACCATACAAGGTGCTTAATTTTAATTGGAACAAGTATTTTTTTAAAGTTTGGGTGACAGGCGAGTTTTCTCTTCACCGTGTATTTGTCGGACTTGGCGAACATTAGATGACGTGATAATCGTCATGGTAATTAAAATAATTTCTTCACTCACGTTTTTAAAGCGCAGCTCTTAGGCGCCCGTTTCCAGGGTGAGCAGCTTCGGCATCGTCGTCGGCGTAACCGCGCTCCTTGCATTATCGGACGTCACAGTTTTCCCCACTAAATTTAGCGGGGAAACTGAACTGGTGTTGAGGTCACGCGAGATGTAAATCTCCCCGCTAACATTAGTGGGGAAACTTAACCTGTTAAATTTAGGTGGAAAATCTTTTCGCTAAATTTAGCGGGGAAGTCTTCACTATAATTTAGCGGGAAAATATTTCGCTAAATTTCCCGCTAAATGGGAGGCGATAAGGAGGGGAGGGGGAGGAGAGGTATTCCCTTCCCTCCGTACCCCGTCCTCCTCCTCAAGAGCTGCGCTCTAATTCGGCCTTACAGAAAATTGTAAACGTCTTATTTTTTATTTTGTTATTAGCGGTCATGATGGCATTGCAGTATTGACGGAAATTACTATTGGTATATTCGGCTGGTCACTTTCGAGCGCTCCAATCATCCGAGTTGGAGCTACCAGATCCCTGAGCGCCTCCGCATCGGAGCGAGAGAATCGGCGCGCCCAGCCGAACTCTCCGCAACTTTTCAGAGCGGCAAACCGAGCGGATAGAGGGTGGCCTGCGCCACTAGAGGACGGCGCGAGCCGCCCTCTAGCGGAACTTTTGCTTCTCGGATTCAAAGGGTTCAGCAGTATCCAGTCATTCATCCATCCGTCAATCCTTGAAAAATGGCAGCCGTCAACGCGAACGCTGATAAGGTCATCGCAAGCCAGCCGTGCAAAGCGGAAGTTCCTCCGAAACTAAAAAAAAAAAAAAAAAGATAACATTGCAGCATGAAAACTTTCCTACTTTTGTTCTTACCGCTTTGTCCGAGTAGGTTCGCACTATTAGCGGCGAGATGCTTTGGTGGCGCTCTCCTATGGTTCCCCTCTGTGACGTCATTACCTTGAAACAACAAGTTCGACGGTGTTTGTAAATAGCATGCTGGAAGCTTGAAATCATTGCACTCTCAAAGGAACAATGCCAATACCGTCAAAATTAAAGTTATTTCGTAAACTTGAGGAAGAAAACGAGAAAGGACGGACAAACACAAACTTCCAACTGGCAACAACATTTAATAACACCAAGAGTTTGCTTATACACCGACACGCGGGTTTGACGTCACGGAGCTGCGGCGGCGCTGCGATCGCGCCGGAGCCGGGGGGTGTGGGCAAAAGCGCGCACGTTTCGCATGGGCGTCATAGCATTTCAGCATGTAGCGAAGCTGTGTTGTCGTTAATTGCACCGAAATGTACAAGAAAAGCAGCGGAGTGAGTTTCCACAAGTTCCCGGCAGACTCTGAAAGGCATAGAAGGTGGATAATATCCGTGGATCGAAAAGAATGGTCGCCTCGCGCGAACGACCGTTTGTGCGGCAAACACTTTCTTGGAGGCAAGTGCGGCTTCCATTTCAATCTCCGTCGCGAGGCTTGCTTATGTGCAGGGAAACCGTCGTCTGATCAAGACCACCCGGATTTTGTTCCCACGGTGTTCGCGCACAACGCACCGGCCAAGCGCTCGTCGGGGGCTCGCTACGCACGTGCTACCGAGCAGAAGGGGATCGGCGACAGAACGGCAGAGTTGTAGGCGTTACCGAAAAAAAGTAACGAAATACGTTACTCGTTACTTGCAAATAAAAGGTACGCGTTACTGAGCTACGTTACCTAAATATAAAAGAAACGCGTTACCGCTACCGATGAAAAGTAAGGCACGTTACTTCTGCGTTCCTTTTTTTAAATTATGATTTAACACATTTTACGGTTTTGACGATACAGGTCATATATCAAGCAGAAGCTGAACATAGATACTTTATCTCTTTTTACGGTTTCACCTAAATACTTACGAGAAAAATCGCAAAGAAAACATGGCTTCACGCCTAAAACACGGAAACAATTGAAGTGCGATTTCTTTAAGACATGGGAAGTAGTAACGACTAACGTAACTACGTTATTTGAAATAGTAGCATAAGTACGTTACCCGTTACTGTGTCAAAAACGTAGCGAGTAGGGAACTACGTTACTGAAAAAAGTAACGCGTTCCTGGTAACGCCGTTACTTGTAACCTGTTACCGCCAAGACTGCAGAACGGACAAACCTTTACTGGTTGTAATGCCTTGTGGTCACGAGGGTATGAAAAATATCATACCTTGACTTGAAGACGCTCTGTGTATTTAATCAATTAATGAATACACACACTTCCGCAGACCCACAGTCTGCTGATCCCGCCGGCAGTGCGGAAACCGACTCGATGTAATCGTAGGCCTTGGGAGACTTGTAGGCCTGCACCCTGTCGGCCGTGAACTGACTTGGCGAAAACTAAATAAACGACGACCTGAGCCGTCGACTTCCGTGGCAGCAACTTTACGTCGGAAGTCCAACACCTAGGCCTTGTTTACGGCGTACGGATCCTCGTAGGCAACGCCGTCCACGCGCAGTTTGTTTCGATACCGCTACCGTTCAGGCTCGGGCAACGAGCTCGAATAGTCGGGCATAGCATACGACATACGTTATGAGGAAATACGACGCACAAATAAAGATACAAGCGTCCCTGCAACGTCAACAACGAGCGCACGCCATAGAGCGCAATGGCGAAAACACGGAGAGCCGGGATGCTTTTGCCCACATAGCTACCGCGCATGCGCGGCCTTCCGGCCGTGTTGGTAAACAGAGCCGCTCCGCGTGTCGGTCTATATACAGGAAAAAAGGGGGGGGGGGGGCGAAAAGGGGGTGGAAAGGAGGAGCACTATGCCGTCAAGGGTGCGTCGTCGCTGTCGGGAACGTCGGGGGAGATAGCTCCGAACTAAGAAATCTTATCTCTTTCCCCGAAAGGGCAATGGAAGGGGAGCCGATGTTGTCCTTGGATCGACACATGGCGAAGGCCTCCAGAATCTCCCGACCATACCTCGAGGGGTGACCCCCGATTCTTGTTGTAGAGGGAAGGACGGCCGAGCAGGAAGTACATTCCGATGCGTGTTTGGCGATCGGGTGGTGAATGACCTCTGAACCGTCGGAGACCGCTTTTTTAACCTCGTTCGCGTGCTCTCTCAGGCGGTCGTTTGAGCAGCGCCCCGTTTGGCCGATGTATCGGGCACCACAGGACATAGGTATTGAGTAAACACACTCTTTGCGGCAAGGAACGTAACAGGTTTTGTGGTTCTTTTGGCAAGGGGGCGCCGGTCCGGGGCTGTTGACTTTTTTGCAAATAGATGCCAATCTAAACTTACACGAGAAAACCACGTTGGTGTTGAAGCCCTGAGCTATTGATTTCAGTCGATGCGAAATGTTATCAATGTAGGGGATGCACGCGAAGCGGGACCTTGGACGCGGCTTTTTGGATTGAGGCCCTGTGACAAGTCTTTTGATGGTAAGCTCGATCAAGTCGTTTGGGTAACCTGCCTTGAGAAGGCGGCCTATCTGATTGGACAGACTAGTTGCGGAAAGGTGGTGACACGACTTGGATTTGGCAGCAGCAATAAGGTTTCGGACAATACCAGTTTTTACGTTTTTTGAGTGCGAGCTGCTGAACGGCAGGACAGGCTTCGCAGACCTCAACCTTTCCGACTAAAGAATTCCGATGACCTTATCCCAACGTTAGATAACTTGCATATCGGTACGGAAACTGTTGGAGTGTTCTCTCTTGATGTAGTAGATTTGTATTATAGTCTCAATGTGAAAACCCTTCTGGGGTTTGTATCCGAGGCTGTGCACTTAAGAGGCGTTATAGATTTTCAAATTTCCTGTGGCATCTCACTCTCAGAATTTCTAGAGTTGATTCGCCTGTATCTTCAGTCCACCCTAGTCGAACACGAGGGCAAAGTATTCCTTCAAAAATCCGGTGTGTGCATAGGGTCGTGCCTAGCGCACATCCTAAGCGAAATCTTTATGTTTCACGTTGACACTAAGGTTCAATCAATCCTTAAGCAGGAATTTCCCGAAGCCTTGGTTTATCGCTACGTAGATGATTATCTTATCATTCATTCCACTAATTCAGATACCGCAGCGATTGAAAGCGTTTTCCAGAAGAACTCCTTCGGGCTCACGTTCACAAAAGAGACCCCTTCATCTAAGGGATTACAGTTCCTTGATCTGAGATTGGTCCCCACCAGTGTCGGGATCTGCTGGTCCAATCAGCAGAGGTCTGCGAAGCCTGTCCTGCCGTTCAGCAGCTCGCACTCAAAAAACGTAAAAACTGGTATTGTCCGAAACCTTATTGCTGCTGCCAAATCCAAGTCGTGTCACCACCTTTCCGCAACTAGTCTGTCCAATCAGATAGGCCGCCTTCTCAAAGCAGGTTACCCAAACGACTTGATCGAGCTTACCATCAAAAGACTTGTCACAGGGCCTCAATCCAAAAAGCCGCGTCCAAGGTCCCGCTTCGCGTGCATCCCCTACATTCATAACATTTCGCATCGACTGAAATCAATAGCTCAGGGCTTCAACACCAACGTGGTTTTCTCGTGTAAGTTTAGATTGGCATCTATTTGCAAAAAAGTCAACAGCCCCGGACCGGCGCCCCCTTGCCAAAAGAACCACAAAACCTGTTACGTTCCTTGCCGCAAAGAGTGTGTTTACTCAATACCTATGTCCTGTGGTGCCCGATACATCGGCCAAACGGGGCGCTGCTTAAACGACCGCCTGAGAGAGCACGCGAAC